GCCAAAAATTGTGCGGCTGACACCTCACGGTGCTTGTAAGGACATAGCCCCCAGTGGCTTTTCGATGGTTTCTTTCCCGGCTGGTTCCACTGATTTCCAAGAGATTGATGCTATGAGCAAAGCTCGTAGGTTAAAATGCAAAGGGCCTGCGCCGGCATTTGATCGAGCCTTGGGTTTTGCTCCTTGGCCGAGCAGAGGAATTCCCGGGCATCAAGAGAACTCCCAGCGAATGTGGGTTGGGTAAACCCAGTTGGGCCAGCTCAGGCCGGAGGCGAGGCCCTTCTTCTGCTCGGGAAACATGAGCCAAAACTTGGAGAACGCGCCAATGAGCCTGGCCACGAACTGTGCCCCTCCGACCTCGTAACATTGGAGAACACACCGAGGGCCCCAAGCCCCGAAGGCTTCTTCAAACCATGGCAGTCCCAAGATTTGACCAACAGCGCCTGAACAGCCCCGCGGATGCCTTGGAGCCTCAGCCTACCGCAACCGGACTGAGGCACGAGAGGAGCCGGTGGCTCGGCCCACGGCGCTGCAGGAGCGGGTTGAGACTTGGCACCGCCCTCACGCACATCCCGTTTTGGGCCTTGGATGGAAAACGGCTATGGCGTGCTCGCTGGCCAGTTTGGCACTTGAAGCGCTGAATGTTGTTGTTTGTTTTTTTGTGGAACGAGGGAACGAAGGCGATCCTTGCCTTGAGAACTTTGAGTTATGGCAACTGCAAGAAGGTCCTTGCTGGCCAAAACGGAAGTGTCCAAGCTGACAGGGCACAGGACGCAGGAAGGAACCACATCAATCCGCCGATGTTGCGATCTCAGCTGAAGCAACATGTCTTGGAGTCCCGCGGATCCTGGTGGCTGATAGATGTGTGTGTGTGTGGTGTGTGTGTGTGGTGTGTGTGTGTGTGTGGTGTGTGTGTGTGTGGTGTGTGTGTGTGTGTGGTGTGTGTGTGTGTGCATCAAGGGCTGGTTTGCGTGTTTTGCACACCGAGAGCTTTCAGTGCGCTTTGCTTGAGATATTTTTACTGGCGCTCAAGGGTCAATAGCCCATTGCTTGGTCATCATTTTTTGGCAGTGATGTTCCAACATCCTCTCAAACAATTAGCATGGTTTTGAACAGAAGTTGGTTGGAAAGGGAGCATGGTCTTTCTAAATGGCTTCCTGCATTTTTTGTTTTAAACGCGCAAGTCGAGTAGCAGCATCCCGCGCAGCATGTTTTTGCATCCTATGTGTGAATCACCTTGCTGAACCATTGGGGCTGAACACCTAGTGTTCTACACCGTGCAACTATCGACTTGTACCTGCACGGAAGCAGTGATCCCTGGAAGGTCCGCGTTTCTGCTTTCTGCAAATGGGCCCATGAACAAGTGGAATGCGTTTCTCGATGTCTTTGTCATTGTTCCGCCTTGGGGTTGCACCAGCCATGTGGCCGAAGATCTGGTCAGGAGAAGCTGGAAGCTGTTGCTGAGCACCTGGAGGCGTTCGGAAGGTTTCCTCTTGGGACCATTGCCTGACCTGGGGGATTCCCTTGAATAAATCAAGTTTCCTACGCCGCACACCATTCTTTTTCAGGAGCACAGCTGAACCAGGGAGCGCTGTGGCAACTGGAGAGAAACAGCAAGGCAATACCTGCTTGCCCCTTGGGAGGGTCAGAGCTCCAAAATACTTTACCCCGCGGTACGCATTTTACCCTCAGGTGACTTGACTGCTTAGAGAGAGTCCCTCTTGAGGGCATCCTTGCACCTGCCTGGATCTTGTAAACCAAGCATTCTGGTTAGAAAGAGCGGTTTATCACATTGTTCCAAACGCAGGTGAGCATGAAAGGCCGAGAGGGCAGTGCGAACGCTTGTGCATGAATGAGCAGAGAGACACAACTGCCAATTGTGCATGATGACGGAAAGCGCTTCTTTGAAGCGGTTGAGAGTTGGACCACGGGGGGGAGGGGGAGCCGGGGGAGGGGGGGTCGGCTGGTCGGCCTGATTTGCAGAATTTCGCGCCAAATAAAGACGGCTAAAATTTGGGTGTCTTGTCCATCTGTCTCGCTCGCTGCATTTTTGTCCAAAGAAACCAGTGTTTTACCATGCTTTTGCGAGGTGCTTTCTGCGTTGCGCTGGCTCGTTTTGCGTGCCTTTTTTTTGCCAATTCTGGGCAAAAAAAAGACGGCTATTTCTCCGCTTCTCCTTGCTTGCTTACTGCTTGCGTGTTTCGCGCTTGGACCTGCCTCGGGGATGCTGGGGATGCTGGGGATGCCGGGGGTGCTGGCGGCTCAGCCAGTACGCGGGATGCTGGGGATGCCGGGAAGCTGGGGATGCTGATGCTTATCTTTTGTTCGAGGAGCTTGTGTCGAGGTGCTCCTTTGCACTGATTCGAGCTGTTTCCTGGCGTGTCCACGAATCCTTTTTTCGTGTGAGCAATGGCTTCAAGAAGACAGCTAAATTTTAGGCGTCTTTTTTGGATGCTTTTGGTGCTCGGCGTTCACTGGCTATCGCTTTCGGTCTGCGGGCGCTCGCTTCTTCAGTAGGTAGCTTTGGAGTCTGTCGCCTGTCAGTATTTTGGTTGTGCTTTCCATTCGTTACCCACAAACAAGAGGCTATTGAAAGCACTGGGCGAGGCAATCACCTTTTTGGAACACCCTGAAATGCCCGTACACACTGATTGCATCCGTGCAAGCTCTGTTCGTCGCAGAGAGACGCCCAGTCTTTGCTTATATTTGCGGGCAATTTTCAGTCGGGCAGTTTTCAATTGGGCCTTCCTCTTGGGTTCCATGTCAATTTGTGGGGGAGTTAGCTTGTGGGCATTTGGAGAAAGGCTGCGTTGCCCAATAACGAGCTGTTCCAATATAACCGACTGGAGTCGGGACGAGATCGACCAAAAAAGACGTCTATTTTTTATCCGTTCTTTTTCCCCTCAATTCAGACTTGCGCCAATGGGGACTCGGCAGGACCGGGACAGAGGAATTTCCGTTGTTCGCCGACCTGGTTTGCAGAGCGCAGCACTCTGTTAATATGCCAGCAGAAATACACAGCCACCAACCACTCGACCGATCGACTAACCAACTGAGCCACACCCACCTACCCACCCACGTACTTATCCAGCCAGCCAGCCGGCCCTGAGCGAGCGAGCCATAAAGCAAGCAAGCAATCAACCAACCGACCGCAACAAAAGCGGCTCGAATAAAGCTGTGAATCAAGCAGGCACAGCTTGTATACCTGATCCGGCACAACATCAGAACATGTTCACCCCCCCAGTCTTCGGTGTACAACGCGCAAATGCGACAACAACAACAACAACACACACACACGCACGGAAAGCCGCAGCAGAAGCCCCCCCCTTCTCGGGTGAGCTCGTGGGCTGTGCCTTGCGAGAGGTGGTAGACGACCTCTCGGAGCGCCTCTGTGACCTGGAGAGACGCTTCGCCACAGGCGGCTTGGGGGGTCCAGCTTGAGGAAATCCACCAGCTTCCATTTGCTGACGATCAAGAGGGGAGTTTCCGGTGTTTTTGCTTTTATATTTTTGGGGGGTGGGGTGGTCACGACGGGTAAATGTAAAGGCAAATCCAGTGAGGCAAACTGTGACACGCATGTTTCCTTTGCCAAAGGAAGTTTAGAAGAAAGTTCCGTGTTACGGACACTAGTTGAAGGTACAGGTCAGATGAACAAAGACTGAAGGCATGCGACAGGTGACGGGAATAGAAATCCCCAAAAAGAGTGATCCTCTGTGGGTTTTGGCATCTCCGGCGGGCGACGCCTACGAATTACGGGCTCGGAACGGCCTCGGAAGGTAGAACGATCTCGGGCCCGGGCCCATTGGCAAGAAAGTGCGCTTTTCGCGACGTAGTTTTGCGTGACAGGCGGCAAGGTAGGAATCTCGGGTTTGAGATCGGGAAAGTTGCCGTCATCGGCATGCCTGCGTAGGCATACATGCGCACTGTATTTGCACGCGCGTAGAAGCATAAATGCATGGGTGCATTGAAGCGCAGATGCGTAGTGTCGATGCATAGGCGCATACGCTCGTAGATGCATAGGCGCATAGATGCATCGATGCATAGATGCGTAGATGCGTAGATGCATAGCTGCATAGATGCATAGATGCGTGGGCGAATGGATGCGTAGGTGCGCGCGTAGGTGCAGAGAAGCGCAGCTGCATAGATGCAGAGATGCAGAAACGCATAGCTGCACAGATGCATAAAGGCGTATATGCATAGAAGTATAGGCGCGTAGATGCATAAAGGCATAGAGGCGTAGATGCGTAGATGCATAGATGCATAGAACCGACTCGCATAGTTGTGGGGATGCATGGATGAGTAGATGCATAGATGCGTAGATGCATAGCTGCATAGATGCATAGATGCGTAGGCGAATGCATGCGTAGGTGCGCGCGTAGGTGCAGAGAAGCGCAGCTGCATAGATGCAGAGATGCAGAAACACATAGCTGCACAGATGCATAAAGGCGTAGATGCCTAGAAGTATAGGCGCGTAGATGCATAAAGGCATAGAGGCGTAGATGCGTAGATGCATAGAACCGACTCGCGTAGTTGTGGGGATGCATGGATGAGTAGATGCATAGATGCGTAGATGCATAGCTGCATAGATGCGGAGATGCATAGATCCACAGATGGATCGATGCATAGATGCATACGTGCATAGATGCATACATGCATAGATGCATCGTTACATGGGCGCATAGATGCATACAGGCACAAATGCATAGAGGAATACAATCACACATGCATGCATGCATGCATACATGCATGGCATGCATACGTGCAAACGTGCTTACGTGCATGCATGCATGCATACACACATATCACAATCATTTGTATACCACACGCACGCACCCAAACCTGCAGATGATGGACCAACCAACGAAACTGCAACGTGTGGAGCATGCAAGTACACCAATCCATGCAGATGTGAATGCTTTTTGACAGCCTCTCTTAGCAGTCCCCGGAAAGGCCACGAGAGCCACGCGCTTGGCAACCAGTCTCCTGGGCCTTTCTCCGAGGCAAGGGGAATCGGGCCGAGGGTTGGCCCGCCTTTTGGGGTCAGCTGGCCCTACCCTCACAAAGCAATCATGGTGATGTACCCTTTTAGCACCCTAATCAGGACCTTCAGAGGAAGATTTGATTTGGTAAGATTCCCTTGTCTTGGAAATTGAGGGATATGTCTGGGGTTCTGGGTGGTTGGAATGCCAGCCCAGCCTTTGACAACAAATTGGAAAACCCTCCCTGACCTGTACCAAGTAGTCCTGCGCTGACTATTCGTGTCATTTGGCAATGGGTGAGGTCCGGCAATTCGGCTTGGAGCTGGCAGACGCTTCACCAGACTTTCCAGCGCCATTTGGTTGTGTCTTTTTTAGGGGACCCCCAACATGGTTGGTTTCCTTGTGGCTGGAAAACCAACATTTAAAAAGGAGGGGTATCTATTTTAGTTTTTTTTTCGGGATTTTTTGTCGCTTTTGGCTTTTTGGCTTCTTGGCTTCTTGGCTTGGCTTCTCGGCTTCTGGGCTTATCGGCTTTTTGTTGGTTTCTGCGGCTTTTGGCGGCTTTGGCTTTTCGCATCCTTTGCTTTCACAGTTCCTCTCTGGGCCTTTTGGCTTTTGCACCCTTTCATTGGTTTTTGGGATTTGGCTTCCCGCATCATCAGCATCACCAGTTCCGCCCTATTTGAATCATCACTTCTTCGAACAAACCCACCCGCTACTGTTTTAGATTGTTTGCAGAGTAATTGCACCCCTATTTGAATCAACCCTTCTTCAAACATCGTGGGGGGGGGGCTGCCGCCCCCCCAACCCCCCCGCTATTTTTTAGATTTCTTGCAGAGACTGAATTGCACCCGTATTTGAATCATCACTTTTTCGAGTGCCCAATTTGGCGAGAAAATGCGGCAAAATACCATATTTTAGGTAATCTGTGTAATCCATGTATGTCTGTATGTATGCACTTCACCCTCCCGCTGCCTTTTAAATTCTATCGCACCCTTTCTTGAATCATTGCACCCCTACTTGAATCATCACGTCTTCCGACATCATTGGGGGGCTGCCGCCCCCCGCAACCCCCCCGCTACGTTTTAGATTTTCTACAGAGATTGAATTGCACCCCTAGTTGAATCATCAATTCTTCGAAAATCATGGGGGGGGCTGCTGCCCCCCCCCCCCCCCCTGTGTTCTGTTTTTCAGACCATTGATCTCCCGCAACATTTGGCTCAAGGCCCCTTTTGCAGAATCACGACCATCCGAGCGTGAAGACAAAAGAGCCATTGCAGGCCGCTTACAGGATTATCCACAAGGCAATCCACCAGGGACAATCCATCCTCCAATCATCCATTACTGGCATATTGGACTCTCTCCGGAATAGATCCAGGGACCAACAACGACCTCAACTACCACAGGGTTCCAGTTCCCTCCGGGGATAGGCACCTGGGGTAGTGGGCCTCAATTCGTGGTAGCGGAGCGGGTTTTCTGCAGAGATCCAAGGGAAGATGTCATCCGATGGAGAAGGCTTCATGGAAGCCTATTCAAGTATGCGTTATCAGTTGAAGCACAGAAGATACTTCATTATCGAAAATCCTCAGACATCCAGGATATGGTATCTGAAATGCATGCAACAATTGTTTTCAGACCCATCCGTGACCTGGGGAGATTTCCATTTCAGTGCATACGGACTAAAAGATCCTGAGTCCGGGCTCAGAAGTCTACGAGCTTGATGCACTGTTTACCTTCCGAGGTTATGAGACCGATCTTCAGAAGGTGTAAAAATTTTTCCAGCTCAGTCAAGCATGAACACCAACCCCTAGAGGGAAACGCTGGTACCTTCGGAAGCAGAACCAAACTGGCACAGGTGTATCCTTACCAGTTCTGTCAGGATCTTGCGCACATCCTCTTACGACACTTGCAGGTGAAACCGCTTGACAATGAGGTGTACCTCTTGGAGGACCTTTTTGAACCATTCACCATCAAGCGTGTTGATATCCTGAGAAAGGAGATGGAAGCCATTGACAAGGAGTTCAACATGACCAGCAGCAGTCTTGCAGTCAGAACCCAAGACCTGCCGTTCAACAAGGACGTTCAAGCATTAGTCATCCAAGATCCGCTAGTTCAGAAATTCCAGAAGACGATGAAGCAGTACCCACCTGGGACTGAAATTGATATCTTCAAGCAAGATCCTAATGACTGGCGATGTCAGAACATGTGGAACGGCTGTAAGAAGTTGAGACAACTGTGCATCTCATCCACTCAGTATGATGCATGCGCTGCATACGTCCACACCATTGGCATCAATATGTCTATTACGTCACCTCCGGACGATGCAATCATATCTTTCTGGCAGCCTGATCAGCTGAATAGAATTTGGGTCTTGCCTGCATCAAAATGCAATTGGGAGAAGTATGATCCGAAGACTTGGCATGCTGTGATGTTTTCATCCGTTCATCAGTCGTTCACCGATGCGCCGGCCATCAAGCCGATGCCCATCGAGACGGATCCATTGGATCCAACGGATGCACCTCAGCAACCTGACACGCAGCAACCACCTGATCAACCGGACCATCCCATGCCTGATCCAAGACCTCCAACACCTCCGGACGAGAGCATGTCAGATCCTCCTCCGGATCCTCCACATCAGCCTGATCATCCCATGCCGCCAGCACCACGCAGTGTGTTGCGAGACAGTCCAGTGGATCCTCCACTACCGCCACACGACAAGCCTGGCGGAGGAGATGCAGCGCTTAAACGGCAAAAAGCAGTCCATTTCCTCCTCAAGTGGACTCAATCGACTGGGGGGTGATGTCTCTTTGCCGTCACAGTCGCAATCAGCTCAGCCAATTCTTCCGACTGTCGTGGTACCTTCACCGCCTGCGATTCTTACAAATCCCGAAGCAGAAGAACGAGATGAAGATCTTGAACTGCCAACACTTGCGCAAGAAGAAACAACCGGCAGTCCATCAAAGAAGCAGAAGACTGGGAAGAAGAAGAAGAAGCCAGATCAGACATGATCCTGCATCTTCATCCAATTATAATCCGAACAATCCAGCGAATTTGCCGGTCCAATATGAAAGTGAGGAAGAGCTGATTCCTCATGTTCCGACCTCATCCGGCACTGGAAGTTCAGAAAGAACCATGAGATACACTTACTAGGAAGATGGAGATTCAGAAGACTCTCAGAGGACCAGACCCTACGATGATCACCAAGCTGATCTCGTTCTAGATGAAGCGCATTGGTCACTCATGACAGCCGAACAGAAGATCTGTGCGAACACCGGATCCTTTACGGTTCCGAGAGATATTGAAGGCAATCCTGTCCTTCTTGGACGTGTGAAAGGGACCTTCAGCCCATCGCCCCGATGCGGATTCTCTCATCAGAAATACACAGATCAGAATCATGTTGACCAGCTATGCAAGAACATGACCGACGATGACCGTGCACTCTTAGTTTTGTATTCATCCAAGAAAGAATCTTTGAAGGCTTCATCCACATCCGCACTCATTGGCAAGAAGCGGAAGGAAGCTACAGAAACGGAAAAAAGAGCTTATCAGAAGCAATTCCTTGAAGCCAAGCAGCTTGAGTGCAAATCATGGCTTGACAATGAAGTGTTCGACTTAGTCGATACACGCAAGATTCAGGTCAGGAACTGGGTCACCGGTCGCTGGGTCCTAACCCTGAAGCAAGACAAGGATGGTAACTTCTTGAAGACCAAGGCTCGCTGGGTCCTCCGAGGCTTCCAAGACAAGCAGAAGAATGATCAGCAGACAGACAGTCCTGCTGCATCCAGGAGTGGTTTCCGCCTTGCAATCCAAGCAGCCTCAAATAAAGGCTGGAATATATTCCACATGGATTTGAAGACAGCATTTCTCCAAGGCGAAGCGTACGACCAGTCTCGTGACATCATTTGTCAGATACCTCCTGAAATGGGATATCCACCACACATTGGAGCGCGCATGAAGAAGCCTGCCTACGGGCTGAATGACGCAAACATCCTTGATTCGGCACTTCGTTCATACGGACTAGTGCCAACCCGGGCAGACCGTTGCACATACGTGTACTACGGCAAGCAGCTTCCGAAGCCCGCATTGGTGAGTGGAAAGAAATCATCCGCAACTTTCGATCTAGAAGGAGCAGTTGATTACCTGCTGGATCCTGTTTCTGGTAACAATGCTAAGAATCGACAAGTTCATGGAGCACTGTCTCTTCATGTAGATGATCTTCTTATGACGGGGGATGACGTGTTCGAGAAGGAAATCATGGGACGACTTCGGAAAGATTTTCAGGTTGGTTCCGAGGACAAAAATGATTGCCTCTTCGTAGGACAGCGCATCCAATGGAAGCAAGATGACAAGCACGGTTGGTACATCAATGTTCATCAGAACGTTGCCATCGACGAACTGCAGGAGATCACTTTTGATAAACACCTGAAGGATGACACTCCTCTTACTCCACAAATGCATACTGCGTACAGAAGTGTCCTAGGTCAGATCAACTGGTTACAGTCGCGAACGCAATTCCACACTGGTTATCAATTCTCAAGGTGTGCATCCAAGGCATCATCACCAACCAGTGAGGACGTTCGCGCCATTAATAAGACAGTCAGAACCATCAAAAGCATTCCGCTTAGCATGAGATTCTGGCCCCTTCGTGGCAAGACACGCATAGTTGGCTATCCAGATGCATCCTATCGCAACAACGAGGATAAGTCATCCCAACGTGCGCATGTTATTTTTCTAGCAGAACAAAGAGATCTTCGCCAGGGCTCATCGAACTCGAGAGGCTCACTGGTCGACTATGAGACGCACAAGATCACCGCCACAACCATGTCCACTACTGTTGCAGAGTTGCACGGACTAATGCGTTGTTACGGTTCAGCATTATTTCTTCGCGGTCTCTGGTCAGACATAACGGGCGAAATTGCAGATGCACACATCCGCACTGATGCGAACAATCTTGTCACCACAGCATCCACAACACATCAACCGGAACAGAAAGAAACAATGCATTTGATCCAGATGTTGAG